CTCGGCGGCCTCTCCCAGTCACCAGTCTAGCTGCCGCATTCTGGATTAGTTGTAGTTTCCGGGTCACCTTCAAAGGTAGCCCCACATAGAGCGCATTGCAGTAGTCCAAGTGGGAGATAACCAGAGCATGCACCCTCTGGCGAGACAGTCTGCGGGCAGGTAGGGTCTTATCCTGCGTACCAGATGGAGCTGGTAGACAGCTGCCCTGGACACAGAATTGACCTGCGCCTCCATGGACAGCTGTGAGTCCAAAATGACTCCCAGTCTGCGCACCTGGTCCTTGAGGGGCACAGTTACCCCATTCAGGACCAGGGAGTCCTTCACACTATCCGTGGTAACTTGGGGGTGCTGGGCAGATAGTTTCACCCTGGCAGCACATCTGCTAAAGACGGCCCTGGATGCAAAGGCAATAAATATGTAAAAACAAGCACTCTTCCCCCAGTAGGTGAACTGTTCCCGTGCAGATGAAATCTGGAGTTGGGATGCTTTGAAATGAGTGACACCTGCACACACAGAACTGACCCAGCCGTTTCAGCTGATCCAGATCCTTCAAAGGGCTGCGTTACCCACCTCCCTGCCCGTTTGGATCAGCCTTGCCACCGCGGGGCAAAAGCTGTCACATCCATCTTTGTTCCGTCGAGACTGCCTGCTCGCTCTTTTGCGAAAAGGACAGGTCTGGTTTTGCAGGGAATTGACAATATTATGTACAACTGCCCAGCTCGTCAGTCGCAGCCTAGAAAACGCACCGGAGGCTACAGTTAGTGCAGGACGCTGCAGCACGATTGCTAACAGGAGCCAGGCCTTGTCGGCAGAGAACTCCTTCACTGCTCAGAGATCTGCGCTGGTGGCAGATTTGCTACCAGGCTGGGTTCAAGGGGTTATTGTTAGTACATGGAGCCCTTGACAACTTGGGACCGGTTTATCTGTGAAATCATGTTCTCCCTTGACTGGCAGAATTGTTACAGGTGTCACATAATCCCCACTGGGTGTTTGTATTTGTATTTAAATGTATTTTTAATATTTTGTTGGAAGCCGCCCAGAGTGGCTGGGGAAACGCAGCTAGATGGGCGGGATAGAAATAATAAATTATTATTGTTGTTTAGTCGTTTAGTCGTGTCCGCCTCTTCGTGACCCCCTGGACCAGAGCACGCCAGGCACTCCTGTCTTCCACTGCCTCCCGCAGTTTGGTCAGGCTCATGTTTGTAGCTTCGAGAACACTATCCAACCATCTCGTCCTCTGCTGTCCCCTTCTCCTTGTGCCCTCCATCTTTCCCAACATCAGGGTCTTTTCCAGGGAGTCTTCTCTTCTCATGAGGTGGCCAAAGTCTTGGAGCCTCAGCTTCAGGATCTGTCCTTCCAGTGAGCACTCAGGGCTGATTTCCTTCAGAATGCAGAGGTTTGATCTTCTTGCAGTCCATGGGACTCTCAAGAGTCTCCTCCAGCACCAGAATTCAAAAGCATCAATTCTTTGGCGATCAGCCTTCTTTATGGTCCAGCTCTCACTTCCATACACCACTACTGGGAAAACCAGAGCTTGAACTATACGGACCTTTGTTGGCAAGGTCATTGTAAAATACATTTTAATGTATTTTTAATCTTTCGTTGGAAAACCCAGCCAGATGGGCAGGGTAGAAACAAATTATTATTATTATTATTATTACTACTACTACTATTACTACTACTAATACTATTATTATTATTATTATTATTATTATTATTATTATTGCCTGCTTAAAACATTTCTACTCAGTCTGTAATTTGAACCTTTCAAAAGTCTTCAGACGTTGTTGTTGATTCTCCTTATTGGTGATTTTGTTGTTTTGTCTTTGTTGTTTTTGCTTTCCAATCAAGCGGTGTATAAAATTTTATGAAATAAATAAATAAACCTTCAAAAATTAGGAAATATTCCCTGACAGAGTAGACCCTTCATTTGAGTTCACAGGGCAAACCCCGAAGCCATCTCGACTCTCTTAATGACCCCAAATATTTTCTCTGCGGCAAAAAAGAAACACCTTGGAAAAAGCCTTTTCCAATAGAGACTGGCTGAGTTCTTTTCACTTGCAAATCCTTCAAATCCTGTAAATAGATAAGCTTCTCCCGTGAATGGGCAATTCCTCTGCAAAACCTGTTAAAAGCAGAGCAGCCCTGTTGGAAAGAACATCATTGTGCATGAATGGGGCATGTCCTTGACAATGGATTCAAAAGGGAAGGCATTTGCTACTCTTAAATAATAGCCCAGACTGTCAAGGACAAGGCAATCAGCAAGCATTGTCAGGTATCTTGAGAGACAGGGGATGAGTCGCTCTTTCAGATTTCTGTGATGCATGTATGTTGCTTGTGGGTGGTCTTTGGCTAAGCCTAGGGGATTTCTGGGACGCAGTTGGTGCTGTGGTCTAAACCACTGAGCCTAGGACTTGCCGATCAGAAGGTCGGTGGTTCGAATCCCCGCGACGGGGTGAGCTCCCGTTGCTCGGTCCCTGCTCCTGCCAACCTAGCAGTTCGAAAGTATGCCAGTGCAAGTAGATAAATTGGTACCACTGCAGTGGGAAGGTAAACGGCGTTTCTGTGCGCTGCTGTGGTTCGCCAGAAGCGGCTTAGTCATGCTGGCCACATGACCCGGAAGCTGTACATCGGCTCCCTCAGCCAATAAAGTGAGATGAGCGCTGCAATCCCAGAGTCGGCCATGACTGGACCTAATGGTCAGGGGTCCGTTTACCTTTACCTTTAGGGGGATTTCTAAAGTCTTCAAAAGTTGTTGCACGCCTTTGCTCTGGGTCCTCACCTTCTTGCCAGGGTCCGGGAGGAACTCTGTTGCAACAGGGGGGGGGAAGGTTTTCATTGCTTTCCTCAACTGCTTCCTGCCTCCACATATTGCTCTCTGCCTGATCATGGACTTAAGGGATAGGGGGTGGGAGCTGGGCTGTAAAAGGTAACCCCAAATTTCCATATAACAGATTCATTGTCAAAGGGGATGGGGGGGAACAGGTGAGTCCTGAGGGATGCTGAGGGCTGTGTGAGCCTTGGGGAGATTGCCTTCCCTGCTGCATTCCAAGTGGGGCTTTGAGAGGAAGAATAATAATAATAATAATAATAATAATAATAATACATTTATACCCAGCCCATCTTGCTGGATTTCGCCAGCCACTCTGGGCAGCCTCCAACAAATATTAAAAATACAATAAAAGCCATCTCACAGTTGGGGAGCCAACGCAGAAAAGGCCTGTTCTCGTGTTGCCGCCCTCCAAACCTCTCTGGGAGGCAGACATAGAAAAGGGCCTCAGATGACAAGTGCAGGGTCCAATTCAGTTGGTGATGGTGATGGTGATAACAAAATACCCCGCCCATCTGGCTGGGTTTCCACAGCCACTCTGGGTGGCTTACAGCATATATAAAGGTAAAGGGACCCCTGACCATTAGGTCCAGTCGTGGCCGACTCTGGGGTTGCGGCGACTCATCTCGCTTCATTGGCCGAGGGAGCCGGCGTACAGCTTCCGGGTCATGTGGCCAGCAGGACTAAGGCCGCTTCTCGCGAACCAGAGCAGCGCACGGAAACGCTGTTTACCTTCCCACCAGAGCGGTACCTATTTATCTATTTGCACTTTGACGTGCTTTCGAACTGCTAGGTTGGCAGGAGCTGGGACCGAGCAACGGGAGCTCACCCCGTCGTGGGGATTCGAACTGCTGATCTTTTGATCATCAAGTCCTATGCTCTGTGGTTTAACCCACAGCGCCACCCGTGTCCCACACAGCATATATAAAAACCTAATAAAGCAAAAACATTAAGAACTTCCCTAAACAGGGCTGCCTTCAGGTGTCTTCTAAAAGTTACATAGTTCTTTATCTCCTTGACACCTGGAGGGAGGGCGTATGGGCTCTGTGATCCTTAGATGAAGGGCGGTGTAATAAGTAATGAAATTGAAATGAAATGAAATTCTTACCTACGCGGGAGATGTGGAATGTGCCAGGGGAGGTGTGGAGGGGTGAGAATTCAATTTTGGATGAGAAGAAGTTTTGGAGGGACAGAGAGCAGGCGGTGAAGCCGCTGAGCAGCCAGAGAAATGGTGGGCACTGCTCCTTACACAGACCGGCAGCAGCAGCCAGAGGGTCAGCTGGACATTGGAACATGCAGCCCAGTAGCAAGGCATTCCAGGGGGGTTGGACTAGATGACCCTTAGGTGTCTCTTCCAACACTGCAATTCTGGAAAGTGCAAAGCTGCTGGCTCTGGAGGCTTAAGAGCAGTGATGGGACAACCATGCATGCTGCTGTAGTTGAATCTCATTAACACCTCTCTCTCTCTCTCTCTCTCTCCTCTCCTCTCCTCTCCTCCTCCTCCTCCTCCTCCTTCTCGTCTTTCTCCTCCTCCTCCTCCTTCTCCTTCTCTTTCTCCTCCTTCTCATTCTTTTCTTTCTCCTCCTCCTCCTCCTCCTCCTTCCTCTCCTCCCCTCCCCTCCTCCTTCTCCTCCTCCTTCTTCTCCTCCTTCTCCTTCTCCTCCTTCTCCTTCTTCCTCTCCTCCTCCTCCTTCTCCTTCTTCTCTTTCTCCTCCTTCTCCTTCTTCTTCCTCTCCTCCTCCTCCTTCTCCTCCTCCTCTTCCTCCTCCTTCTCTTTCTCCTTCTCCTCCTTCTCTTCCTTCTCCTTCTTCTCCTTCTTCTCCTCCTGTTCCTTCTCCTCCTTCTCTTCCTTCTCCTTCTCCTTCTCCTTCTCCTTCTCCTCCTTCTCCTTCTTCCTCTCCTCCTCCTTCTCCTTCTTCTCTTTCTCCTCCTTCTCTTTCTCCTCCTTCTCCTTCTTCTCTTCCTCCTCCTTCTCCTCCTTCTCCTCCTCCTCCTCTTTCTCCTTCTCCTCCTTCTCTTTCTCCTCCTCCTTCTCCTTCTCTTCCTCCTTCTTCTCCTCCTTCTTCTCCTCCTTCTTTTCCTTCTCCTTCTTCTCCTCCTTCTCCTCCTCCTTCTTTTCCTTCTCCTTCTTCTCCTCCTTCTTCTCCTCCTCCTCCTCTCTCTTTTTCAGGGCAGTCGTCCTTCTGCTGTCGCTTCCTGCCTCCACCCTCACCTTCTCTCTCTCTCTCTCTCTTGAATCTTTTTGCGGTCTGGGCTTGCTGTTCCTCCAGTCAGTAGTCAGGAAGCCCTTACCCCAAAAAGTATTTGCGAGGGATCAAGTCGTCTCCGCAGGAAACAAGGAGGACTGTGGATGCAAAGGTACGCAAAACTTGAGGCCATGTGGATGTTTGCAGGCATGAGAGAGCATTGGGATGGGGGGGTTGTCCCTTTGTGGATCAGCAGCCCACCCCTCCCTTGGGGGAACACGGAGCAGCATGGAATCGTGGAACTGTGGAGCTGGAAGGGTCCTCTAGTCCAACCCCCTGCAGAACCTCCATGGCTGAAGGCCATCCAACCTCTGCTTAAGAACCTCCAAGGAAGGAGAGTCCATCGGAGACGACTCCTGGGCACAGGAGGTGAGTTGCGTCGCCTCTTTCAATTTTAGTCCCTATTTCTAAACTTACATCTATCCATATCAATCAGTATATGCACATTTTATGTAAATCCACATCTCCTTTTGCCCTATGTTTTTGACAACTGCCATTCCAACTGCGCATTGCTCGGGCAAGTCAGCCAAGCTGCGTAAAATAAATCATCTTGACAACCTGATTTTTTTGAGGGGTTGGGTGGTGATAACACGGTTTCCTTCCCAGGCCTGATGCTGCAGTCCAACAGTCCCTGAAGACAAGGAAACCCCTGAGCTCACTGTGTCGTCCCATCGCACAGCCTTTGGGGCAAAATCTCCCTAGGACATTGTCCATCCCAGTCCTACACACTTGGAGCCCAGAGCTTTCTTGAATGTGAATGTTTGACAGCAGAATGGACAACCTGGGAATATGGCGGGCTCTCCTTCATCTGAGGTTCTTAAGCAGAGGTTGGGTGACCATCTGCCAGGTGTCCTTTAGCTGAGATTCCTGCACTGTGGGGTCCCTGTTCTATGATTCTCTGTTTTGAAGTGATGTTATTATTAATATTTTCTTGAGTAACAATAGAACATACTGAGTCTATTTTCAAGTTGGTGAATCATTCAGACATGACAACAGTCCTATGATTCATTGGAGGTTTTAAAGAGAGGTCAGATGGCCAACTGTCAGGAATTTTTAGCAGCCATTCCTGCACAGAAGGGGGCTGGAGTAGATGTCCTCTGGGGGTCCCTTCCAACTTTACACTTCTGTGATGCTAAATGGTGTGGGGTGTGAAGCACAGAGCAGTCAAGTACAACATTCCTAGAGTGGACATAAAAGAGGATGTCTGGACCAGCCAGTTGGAACTTCCTGTTTCCTCCTGGACAGGGACAAACTTCCTCTACATGTGACCAGAGGTGGGCGTGACCTCACCTGTGCAGGTAACAACATAGCACAGGGGAGGCAGCCATCTCTCTCTCTGACTCCATTCCTCAAAGAAGCAACATTTCCTTAGCCTGAGATGCTCTCTTGGCTTCAAGAGAGGACAAAGGAACTTTCTCCTTATGGGATAGATTCCAGGTGTATATATTTTGTAACTTAAGTCTGCCTTCTGGGATCCACCTGTGAACAGAATGTGAGTAAACTCTCTTATATGCTTTGATACAAGACTGTGTCGTGTCTGTTCTTTTAAGAGGGAATAAAGGGGAATTACCAGGAAACTTATTTTAGAGGCTTAAACAAGCCTGGCAAAGATGTAATAATAATAATAATAATAATAATAATAATAATAATAATAAAGATGATGATGATGATGATGTTTATACCCTGCCCATCTGGATGGGCTTCCCCAGCCACTCTGGGCAGATTCCAACAGGTTATTTAAAACACAATAAAACATCAAACATTAAAAGCTTCCCTAAACAGGGCTGCCTTCAAATGTCTTCTAAAAGTCTGGTAGTTGTTTTTCTCTTTGACATCTGGTGGGAGGGTGTTCCACAGGGCGGGGGCCACCACCGAGAAGGCCCTCTGCCTGGTTCCCTGTAACTTCGCTTCTCGCAGGGAGGGAACCGCCAGAAGGCCCTCGGAGCTGGACCTCAGTGTCCAGGTAGAACGATGGAGGTGGAGATGTTCCTTCACTGGACCGAGACCATTCAGGGCTTTAAAGCACCAACACTTTGAGTTGTGCTTGGAAACGTCCTGGGAGCCAATGTAGGTCTTTCAGGACCGGTGTTACGTGGTCTTGGCGGCCGCTCCCAGTCACCAGTCTAGCTGCCGCATTCTGGATTAGTTGCAGTTTCCTGGTCCGCTGCACAAGTTTAAAAAGGGGAATGTTACTCTGCTAAATCATAGAACTTGTTAACACAAGTTGGGAAGGATATAATTAAACACTCTCCTGCCTCCCTGAACATTCCCACCGCTGGCTCTCCCTTGCCACCCTGCCCGCCTCCCCCACCCCCAGCAAGCCCCCTTCCCCCTCCCTTTCTGCTGACTCTTGTCTAGGGCAGGGCTCCGGCCCCCTACGGCCCCCTCCAAGGTCGCCATCCCAGCTGGCCTTTGCTCTCCCCCCCCCCCACGCACACCGGTCTCTTCCCTGAGCAGCGCCAGCCTCTGGGCAGCTGAGAGTAATTGGATCCGGCACTGTGGCGACAGGCGAGCTGGAGGACAGCGAAAGGGTTTCTCACCCTTCGGAGGGAGGAGAGTTGTGGCGTTTTTTTGCACGGAAGGTAATGCTTGACAAATGGCTTGCCCTAGAAACTTCACATTTGGTTTATTCATCTATCCTCTATGGGCACAAGTGCCTTTGACGAAGAGGGATCCGGGAGGCCGGCTGGTGAAAACGGCAGAAGCTGCCACTCTTTCCCCCCCCCTTGCCCCCCGCCCCCGCTCAGGCCAGAAGCACTGCATGACTTTCAGGGAGCAAAAGGCAGGAAGCAGAGAGAGATGGAGAGATGGAGAGACTGTGTCCTTCTTTGCAGCGGCCAGGCACGGATCCTGGACTGGCTGCACAGAAGGGGACACTGAGGCACAAGGATGGGGGGGTGGCAGGAAGCCTGGAGAAGGAGCGTTTGCCCTGCAGGTACCCAGAGGGCAGGATCCAAGCCAAGTCTCGTTCCAAGGAGCTTTTCTGTTCCAGGTGTGTAGAATCATTGAATTGTTGAGTTGGGACCCAAGGGTCATCTAGCCCAACCCCCTGAAATGAAGGAACCACAACTAAAGCCTCTCTGACAGGTGGCCATCCAACCTCTGCTCAAAAACCTCCACCACCTTCAGAGGGAGCCCGTTCCACCGCCAAGCAGCTCTTCCTGTCAGAACGTTCTTCCTAACTTTGAGCCAACATCTCATTTCTTGTAACTTGAAGCCATGGGTTCGTGTCCTGCCCTCCAGAGCAGGAGGTAACAAGCTTGCTCCATCTTCCACGAGATAGCCCTTCGGATATAGGAAGGTGGCTCTCCTATCTCCTCCTAGTCTTATCTTTTCCGGGCTAAACATCCCCAACCCCTCAACCGTTCCTCACAAGGAGTGGTTTCTAGACCCTCGATCATCCTGGTCCCCCTCCTCCTTCCACACACTTGATCATGACTCTAGACAGAAGAAGGCTCCTTTCTCCAAATGGAGACAATGGCACCAGTGGTTGCTATTTGTGCTCAGTAACCAACGGCACTAGGCCACTTTATGCAGATTTGGGTGTGCCCAGGCAAATGATATTTTTTATGCCTGTACTGCAGAAAGCTTGTTTTCTGCTGCTCCAGAAGATAAGATCCTAAACCAGCCTTTCTCAACCTGTGGGTCCCCAGATGTTGTTGAACTACAACTCCCATCACACCTAGCTAGCAAGCTCAGGGGTGATGGGAGTTGTAGTCCAACAACATCTGGGGACCCACAGGTTGAGAACCGCTGTCCTAAACCAATGGCTTCAAGTTCTGACCGGAAGGGGATTCCGACGTTAACATCTGGATCACCCTCAGGAATCCCTTCCAACTCCATAATTCATGGGTAGGCAACCTAAGGTCCATGGGCCGGATCAGGCCCAATTGCCTTCTGGATCCGGCCCGCGGACGGTCCGGGAATTGCTGCGTGGATTGCCAGCATGCACACGTTCTCCCCCTCTCCCTCGCACAGCAGTGCTGGCACCTCCTCCCTCCCTCCTCCAGGCTTCTCCCTGCCCTGCCCAGAGGAGGAAGGGGGCTGGGCTTTACTGGTGCCAGCAGCAGCCACGGTCAAGTGGCCACCATTTTAAGGAGCCCCTCTCTGGAGCCGTTTCACACGCCGCTCATCGTCCCTCTGTCACCACCACCAGCCCCTGCCGCTCACAAGACACAGGTAAGCAGCCACTGGGGCTCATGGTGTTCTTGTATCCCCCCCCCCAATATATAGTCCAGCACCCCACAAGGTCTGAGGGACAGTGGACCAGCCCCCTGCTGAAAAAGTTTGCTGAGCCCTGCCATAATTCTATGATTCTTTGATTGCAGGATTCTGGTGCTTGGGCCATCTGAATCGCTTGCCAGGATCACAAACAGTGGCGCCGAAACCTTTATGAGCAACAGCGTGCCAGACTGTCACTTGCGCTCACGACAAAACAAGGGAGAGAGGAAACCCGTTTGCCAGAAGATGGTGCCACTGGAGCAGGATGAGCTGAAACAGCTGCTGGTGCTGAGACGACATTTGACATTTGGAGGGCAGAAAGGGTTCAGGGGAGGGCGGGAGGCTCAGGGCAGAAAGAGGGGAGGGGGTGGTCCCAGGCTGAATCGTGACTTCTCCAGTTTAAAAAGGAACCACAGGGAGTGGGGCTGTGGAAGACGGAGAGTCATGGACCTTGGAGAAGCATCACTGCCAATCAGAGCAGATGATAAGGGCTGGAGGGACCATAAGAGACATGCGCATTGCCTTGCCCCCGTGACTGAGAGAGTCCAGGGGTTCCCGACTAAAGAACTGTGGCGAGAGAAACTGACGGACTATGCAGAATTGGTGAAACTGACACATAAACTGAGTGACAAGGGCAACTGTGACTTTAAAGAAGAATGGGAACCTTTCACAAAGTACTTAAAGAAACAACAAAACGAACTGGACTCCTTGGCAGGTTTTGAATAAACATACACAAATTTATTACTAACAACCTATAGATAGATAAATTAAGGTTCTTTACAATTTTAGAATATGCAGAGAATTACATGTTCAGTGGTGCCCCGCAAGACGAATGCCTCGCAAGACGGAAAACCTGCTAGACGAAAGGGTTTTCCGTTTTTCGATGCGCTTCGCAAGACGATTTTCCCTATGGGCTTGCTTCGCAAGATAAAAACGTCTTGCAAGTCTTGCGATTTTTTTTCGCTCCCCCTTTTTCTAAGCCGCTAAGCTGCTAATAGCCTTTTAGCCGCTAAGCCACTAAGCCTTTAATAGCCGCTAAACCGCTAAACTGCTAATAGCGCTAAGCCGCTAAGCCGTTAATAGCCGTGCTTCGCAAGACGAAAAAACCGCTAGACGAAGAGACTTGCGGAACGGATTATTTTCGTCTTGCGAGGCACCACTGTATTGAGAAACCAGAGAGAGGAACTGAGGGAAGTCGGGGGGGAGGGGGGTTGGTTCTTTCTCAGGAGGGGGGGAGGGGGAAAATGGGGGGGACTAAGGATGATATGTCTTTTGATAAAATGTTATGTTGAAATTGCTAATAAAAACTTTATAAGAGAGAGAGAGAGTCCAGGGGTGCTAGAGACATCAGCCACAGAAGTTTGGGTGGGTCTGGCCCTCTGATTTGGAATTGGGGGGCTGTGGCTTCCACGGCCCCCCATAGAAGAACCTGAGAAGAGCCTGCTGGATCAGGCCAGTGGCCCACCTTGGCCAGCCTCCTCTTCTCAGAGTGGCCAGCCAGCTGCTTATTATGGGGAACCCACAAGCAGGATCCGAGCACAAGAGCCACACTCTCCCCTTCTGCCGTCTCCAGCAGCCATTGAGAAGCATTGCTCTGGACTCCAGGCCTTTGCTGACCCAGCAGAAGAAGCCCCATTAATGAGACGGCAGGGAAGGGGCACCCTTCACACAGCAGGGGTGTCAGATCTGGAGTCCGATGCAAAGGGGTGTGTGAGTGGCCAAGAGCAGCTTGATTTGACTGTTGTTTAGTCGTGTCCACCTCTTCGTGACCCCCTGGATCAGAGCACACCAGGCACTCCTGTCTTCCACTGCCTCCCTCATGCTGGTAGCTTCGAGAATACTGTCCCACCATCTCGTCCTCTGTCGTCCCCTTCTCCTTGTGCCCTCCATCTTTCCCAGCCATCAGTGTCTTCTCCAGGGAGTCTTCTCTTCTCATGAGGTGGCCAAAGTCTTGGAGCCTCAGCTTCAGGATCTGTCCTTCCAGTGAGCACTCAGGGCTGATTTCCTTCAGAATGGAGAGGTTGATCTTCTTGCAGTCCATGGGACTCTCCAGAGTCTCCTCCAGCACCATAATTCAAAAGCACCAATTCTTCGGCGATCAGCCTTCTTGATGGTCCAGCTCTCACTTCCATACATCACTACTGGGAAAACCAGAGCTTTAACTATACGAACCTTTGTTGGCAAGGTGATGTCTCTGCTTTTTAAGATGCTGTCTAGGTTTGTCATTGCTTTTCTCCCAAGATTTGACTAGAGGCTCCCAATTTGCTTTTTTTGGAGGGCAGAGCAGAGCCATTCTGGCCAGGAGCCATCAATAGCCCTCTCCTCCTCCATGAATTTGTGTGGTCCTTTTTTAAAGACATCCAGGTTGGCAGCCATCGACTTCCTGGGGGAGGGACTTCCACAATTCAACTGTGTGCTGCATGAAGAATCTCCCAACATCAGCTTCACACTCAGAGGCTGTGTATTGATTTAATTTACTTCATTTTATTTTATTTTATTTTACATCTTACCCAAATTCTAAACTATGTCACCTGGCTTTGTTCCTCCATCTCTTCTCTCCTGTGATGCACCACCTGCTGACAGAAGGAAGTCAGCAGTAAATCCCACTGAGCAAGCTGGATCTGCACAGGAGTGTCAGGCCTAGTGAGCACAGCACCTCAGGTCTTGCCAAGACTGAAGGTCCCTGCTTCCCCACAGCTGGCTATGCCTCTTCCTCCCCAGGGCTTTCCCCAAGCAATCAGAGACTGTGCCTGCATGCTTCTCTTTGCTCTGACCTTTTCACGCCTCTCCTGGTTCTGGGAGACCATGTGGGGGGAGCTTGTCTCGGCAGGAGTGGGAGACACCTGGGCCTCTTCACCAGCCTGCCCCATCTCTGCCTCTTGGTCTCCCTCCTCTCCTGCTTCCACTCCCGATTCTGGACTTCTCTCTGCCATGGCCTCTTCCTGCTCACTAAGCCCTGTTGCCTCTTCAGGTTCCAACACCTCATCCTCCCAGGCTTCCCCTCTTCTCCCTCTGGCTAATAATAATAATAATAATAATAATAATAATAATAATAATAATTTATTACTTATATAAAAGGTAAAGGTACCCCTGCCCGTATGGGCCAGTCTTGACAGACTCTAGGGTTGTGCGCTCATCTCACTTAAGAGGCCGGGGGCCAGCACTGTCCGGAGACACTTCCGGGTCACGTGGCCAGCGTGACAAGCTGCATCTGGCGAGCCAGCGCAGCACACGGAACGCCGTTTACCTTCCCGCTGGTAAGCGGTCCCTATTTATCTACTTGCACCCGGGGGTGCTTTCGAACTGCTAGGTTGGCAGGCGCTGGGACTGAGCAACGGGAGCGCACCCCGCCGTGGGAATTCGAACCGCTGACCATGCGATCGGCAAGTCCTAGGCGCTGAGGTTTTACCCACAGCGCCACCCACGTCCCTATTACTTATATACCGCCCATTAAAAACACAATAAAACATCAAACATTAAAAACTTCAAAAAACAGGGCTGCCTTCAGATGTCTTCTAAAAGTCAGGTAGCTGTTTATTTCCTTGACATCTGATGAGGGGGTGTTCCACAGGGCGGGCACCACCACTGAGAAGGCCCTCTGCCTGGTTCCCTGTAATCTCACTTCTCGCAGGGAGGGAACCGCCAGAGGGCCCTCAGAGCTGGACCCCGGTGTCTGGGGTGGAGACGCTCCTTCAGGTATACTGGGCCAAGGCCATTTAGGGCAGGGGTCAGCAACCTTTTTCAGCCGTGGGCCGGTCCACTGTCCCTCAGACCATGTGGTGGGCCAGACTATATTTTGGGGGGAGAAATGAACAAATTCCTATGCCTCACAAATAACCCGGAGATGCATTTTAAATAAAAGGACACATTCTACTCATGTAAAAACACGCTGATTCCCAGACCCTCCATAGGCCAGATTGAGAAGGCGATTGGGCCGGATCCGGCCCCCGGGCCTTAGGTTGCCTACCCCTGGTTTAGGGCTTTAAAGGTCAGCACCAACACTTTGAATTATGCTTGGAAACGTCCTGGGAGACAATGTAGGTCTTTCAGGACTGGCATTATGTGGTCCCAGCGGCCACTCCCAGTCCCCAGTCTGGCTGCTGCTTTCTGGATTAGTTGCAGTTTCCAAGTCACCTTCAAAGGTAGCCCCACGTAGAGCGCATTGCAGTAGTCCGAGCTACTCATTGTCTGAGCCTTCTTCCCTTGGGGATTCCCCACCTGCTATCTCTCACCATCCCTCTGGCATGTCTAGAGTCTGTGCAAACCGTTTTTGCAGCCTTCCCACCTGCCTGCTATACCAGGGAATGCTGCTGTTATCTGGTTCCTAGCTGTGTGCCAAAGAGACGGGTTTAAAATGCTGCCAAAGCGACCCAGGGCCTGGTTGCTCCCCTCTTTCGACAGCAGATGTCTGGCTGGTCTCCCAACAGCCTGGTGAGGCGGTCTTGGTGCCAGGCCCTGGCAAAAGTGCCATGCCCTGTGGACTGAGCTCCTGCCCTCTGATGCAGGTCCTTCTCCGCAGTGTGGACGGGGCCTTTCCCTCTGGCACCCACTCCTGAAAGGCCTCGTGGATGTTTCACAGTGGAGCTGGAAACGAGCCTCACCACTTCCAGGAGCCGAGGGCTTCCTTCGGGGGGCGGGGGGGGGGGAGAGACCAAGAGAGGTTTCCACATGGATGGAAGAGGAGGCATCTTTGGGGAAGCCGAGCATGAGAATCGGGCCGCAGGGAGGGAGACTGCCTGAGCCCAGCCAGCACAACGTGACTGTGCAGAGGAATGCTCCAACTGGGTGCTAGCAAGGAGCTCAAGGGGAGGCGCTGTTTCCGGGTGGGGGGGGAATGGATGCCTCTCCCAGGCCCCCTCACCCAGCTCTCCCCATTGAGCAAAGCAGCCCAATGCCTGCTGGAGGGCTGTGGGGAGGCAAGTTGCAGCCCGCTCTGGACTCCAGGCCATTGCTGACCCAGCAGAAGAAGGCCCATTAATGAGCTGGCAGGGAAGAGGCTCCGTTTACATAGCAGGGGTGTCAAATCTGGAGTGGATGCAAAGGGATGTGTGAGTGGCCAAGAGCAGCTTGATTTGACTACGAGGCTCCCAATTTGCTGTTTATTTCGAGAGATGTATTTCACTGCTCTTCCACATGTAGCAAATGTAATTTGAAATACAATAGGCAAGCACAATAGCAGGCTAGCCTGTCACTTCTTGGGGGAAGGCGTGACAGCGCTGCTTAGAACAAGTTTATGATGCATATTAAAGACTCCAGTCCAATAAGTCTCTCCAGATGTTCCTGCGGGTCTTGGAAAAGGGGGGTTGTCTCAATTGATCACCTTGTCTCTCCTGCAGGAGATGAATGGCTGCCAGGTGTTATGAAAGGATAAAGGACTCCTCTTGCCACCCAGTTTTCAAAACCAGCTCCCTCCCATGTCCTTTTCATTTCACTCACACACAAACCTTCTCTAAATCTTCCTGCTTTTCTCTGCATCCTAATTCCCGGCCCCCACCCCAGCAGTCCCTTTTGAGCTGAGGTGATGCTTCCATCCAAGAGCTGAGCTGAGCTCAGACAGACAGAGCTATGGATGAACCCCACCCCGCCCCCACCGCCATCTTTGCAACTCATTTGAATGCTAATTAAAATAGCTTTCCTAAATCTTGACTGCTCAATGGCTCAGATCGAGGGCTTGGGATTTGAGCTCCCAGCTGCTGCGGGTTCTGCTCGTTTTGTGGGCAGCAGAGGCAGTGGTGCTGGGCACAATCTCTAACCCGGGGAGGGAGAAAATTTGGAGGCCGGTTCAGCATTCCACATCCTGATAATCTGGAAGCTGCAGAGAGTCCTGAATGCTGCAGCACGATTGCTGACTGAAGCCAGGCCTTGT